GGGCTAGCACCTGAGCCCTGGGGAATGCCAGAAAGCAGGACTTTCCATGAGGAGGATTTTTATCATTCCAGCCCCTTTTGGCTCTGGCCGTAGGCCCCGGCCCCACTGCTTGGCTAGGCCACCACTCATCGTACTATCAGAAAGTCCAGTCCATCCCCACTGGCCAGGGCTTTCCGATCAGAGCTGAGGTAGAAGGGAGCCGCTCAAGAGTGCCATGCCTGGCCTTGTCAGTGCTACCTGTGCTGTGTATGCAATAAAATCTACACACCAGGGAGCCAGTGCCCCATGTCTGGTGTCTGGCTTTGGCAGGAAAGCCCAGAAGTTGCTCAGGATGGGGTGGGGGCGCGAACGGGGCCACTCTGGCCGAGGCCTTTATTGGGGAAAACACGGGGAGTCACTTGGTCTTATTCTTGGTTTTGCCTGGAGGTAGTTGGAAGGGCCGCTCTAGTGTGGTCAGCTTGCTGTTAAGTCTTTCCTCGCTGGCCTTGAGCCGCTCCTCCACCAGCTGCTGCAGCAGCTCCAGCTCCTTGTTCAGCTGGGTCTTGATGTAGGCTCGGAGGAGGGAGACCTGGCCTAGGGGCAGGGAAGGAGAGATGCTGCTTGGGGCTGAAGGATTGCCTCTAGCTGAAGCAGTTGGCAAGGTGTCCCTGGGGACTACACAGGTGGAAATGTTGCATCAATTCAGAAAATGTTAGCCAGCCCTTCTGTGAGAGAAGTGGGCAGAATGGCTACTTCCAGCCAGACTTTCTGGATTGCTACTTAATAGCTTTGTGAACTTAGGCAGGTGAGTTAACCTCTCTATGCCTTAGGTTTCCTCCTATGTAAAATGTGGATAGTGATAGCACCTAGCATCTAGGATTGAGGGATAATTAAATGGGTTAATGTACATAAAATGTTTAAAATAGGGCTTGCCTGGCCCTGGCCTCTTTGGCTCAGTGGATAGAGCATTGGCCTTTGGACCCAAGGGTCCCCAGTTCGATGCCAGTCAAGGGCATGTACCTCGGTTGTAGGCTTCTCCCTGGCGCGAGCCCTGGTCAGGGCGCATGCAGGAAGCAACCAGTTGATGTGTTTCTCTTACATTGATGTTTCTCTCTGTCTTTCCCTCTCTCTAAGAATCAATAGAAAAAGTATCCTCAGGTGAGGATTTAAAAAACAATAATAAAAAATAAAATAAAATAGGGCTTGCCTGGCACACAGTGTTATCAGTTATGTGCTGGCTGTTACTGTCATCAGTTTTCCTGCAGCTCCCAGCAGCTGTGCTTTTATCTGTCCTCGTGGACTCCCGCATGCTGAGTCATTTGGAGAAAGGACACCATGACTGAAAGGCGGAAGTCCCGATGTGGTCTAAACCCTTCCTTTCACATTTGCCCCAAATCATAGAGAACCCAAACTCCTCCAGGTCCTCACTTGGCTCTTGCTGTGGCTCAGCCACCGTTTCTGGTTCCTCCTCTAGGGTGGCTGCCTGGTCCTCCACCTCCTCACCACCTTCTTTCTCTGCAAGCCAGAAGCAGGAAGAACCTTTAGCTTCAGCTTCAGTCCCAGCCCCAGCCCTGGCATTCTCCCTTACCTCTCTCATCCTCTGACCAGAGCTTGGGTGGCTGCAGCCCTAAATAAGTCAAAGACAGATCTAGCCGCACCTGGAAAGACAAAGAGGGCAGCTGAGAGGACGGCATCTGCACTGAGGGAAGTGGGGAGCTGAGGGGTGGTCTCATAGCCAGGGCCCAATACCTGGGGAGTAAAGACGTATTTGTAGAGCTTGAAGTGGCGAAAGTAGGTGTTGACCACATAATCAGCCAGGGCCAGCAGCTGTTCCTCCTTAAAAAGGTTGATACTGAAAGGGGGCCGCTGTGGGGGTGATTGGGAATTAGAGGACTGACCACCTCCTGAAGCTCTGGCCTTTTCTCCTAGTGCCCAGCAGTCCAGGAGCAGGGAGAGCCCACTGTGGCCTTCAGAGGAAGATGAGGGTGATGAGGGTGAGAACAGGCGATTGGGCTAGACCGTGTCTGGGGAGGAGCGAAGATCCCATCAGGGGAACTGACCCTGACTCCATGGCAAAAAAGAACACTGGTGAAGTAGCGGTAACATTCCTCCACATTGCCCAAGGGGGTTGCTGGGAGGGAAAACAAGATATTCCAGTGAGTCACCTCTGATGATCATTCATTTTACTCAACTGCTACTTACTGAGCATGCGCTTTAGAAGGGGACGGATCTGGGTTTAAGTACTGGGTTGTTCATTAGCCCAGACACTGAGTACCCACTGTGACTGTTCTGGGCACTGAACAAGACAGATAAGGTCTTGCCCCTTTAAGAGGCTGACATGGTAGTGGAAGTGACATACAATAAACCAAGAAATACATAATTTTAGCTCTTGTTAAACACTCTGAAGAAAGCCAGTTCTGGGAATAAAAGGGAGAAAGCAAGAACTATTTTACTGAGCACTGTGCATATACAGGGTGTCCCAAAAATATATACAGTGTATAATTATTAATTCTAATGTCTTTTTTCAGATTTAACCCATTGGTATTAATAATTATTCAGTGTGTATACATTTTTTGCCCCCCTCTCCCCCCAATATAGCAGAACAGTCAGTATTCATAGATAAGGAAATGAAGGATTTCATAGGTGAAATAACTGTGGTAACACTGCTAGTAATGACAACAGGTTCCAGGTGGTGATCTCCCTATTTCTACTTCCCATGGTTACTTGTGCCATCCAGCATCCACTTTCCTGGGCTCAAACCTTCTGGTCACCGCCACCTCTTACCAACACAGGCCTTGTGAAGATCTTGGAGCAGGGCACAAGCCGTTGATGTCTGCTCCATCGAGAAGCCCTGCTGGCGGCAGAAGATGAGCGCATGGGAGAAGAGATCCAGGATGATGGCATCCTGACGGCTCTGCTCAGGCCATCCTAGCCCCAACAGGTTGGCCAGCACCCTTGAGAGGGGGAAAGGACGGAGTGAGAGACAATGGAAGCCTCCCTTCACTACCCCACACTACTGTACAGCATGCTTTGGAGCCAGGATTTCTCATGCCTTCCCAGTACACCCTCAGCCTTTCCCATGCTCCTTCCCTTCCCTGCTTCTCCACCCCCCCCTCCATACTCCCTCATCTCCTCAGTGTTGGCCGTCTTCTCCAGCCTGTGCATGGAATGGATGTCCAGGTACTTCCTGCCATAGGAAAAGAAGAGAAATGGTGTTGGTGGCCATTATACATTAGTCTCAAGGCAGGACTAGAGCACTAGACTGGGAACCAGGAAACCTCAGTTTGAAGTTCGGCCTTTCCACTAACTTGCTGGTGACCTTGGGCAAGCCACTTCCCTCTCTGGGAGTCATGTTTTCCATCTGTAAATAACTGAGATGGTCTAAATGAACTTGTGTATGTGTTAATCCTCAAGATATTTCTTACACTGATTTTTAGAATGGGAGAGGGAGGGGCAGGGGAAGAAGAGAAAGAAACATTGATATGAGAGACATCTGTCAATTGGTTGCCTCCCACTTGTGCCCCGACTGGGCCAGGGATCGAACCTGCAACCCAAGTATGTGCCCTTGACCAGCAATGGAACATGTGAGGTTTTAGTGCAGGCTGATGCTCTAACCATTGAACCACTGGCCATGGCCTAAATGAATACTTACGATTATTTTCATTATAAAGCCTACGGTTAGGAAACTTGAGTTCTTGTTTCTGCTCTGTCACTCCCTTATTGTATGACTTTGGGCAAGTACCCCTGTGGGCCTCAGTGTCCCCATTTGCACAACGCTCCATGACAGCTATGACATTCTATTTACATCCTCAGTCTTTGGCTCCCTTCTTCCCACACTTGCTCTTTGGACTATGGAGGCAGGAGAGCCATTTTCTAGTTATCTTGGGTAATCCCATCTCTGGACCTCCATCTCGTCATCTGTAAAATGGGGATGTCCTTTTTTTTCTGCCCTGGCTGTTTGACAGGACTGTTGGGGAAGTACTAAGGGAATCGTGCAAGAGTGAAATGTAACTTTTCCCAGGGCTCTTTACACTCACCACATGCAGATCCGGGGCTTGGGCAGAGGAGGCTGCGGAGAGAAAGCAGATTGGACCAAAGTCCTTGCCCCTGGTCCATGGCAAACCTCCAGCGGACCTGAGAACTCGTTAACTTGCTTTCTCGTCTTAAGGACTGTGAACGAACAACGCGGGCGGGCTGGGCTTCAGCAGGCCCTAAGGCCTACTACTCAGGAGCATATTAACAACCGGGGTCACACATTCCCTCTTCACCAAGGCAGCCCAGGAGACGCCTTAAAATTAGTAAACATATCACGGGTGGCGCCCTGTCGGGAGCCCTTTTATAACACTGCTGAGCGGATTCCTCGTCCTTACCGGGAACAAGTTGGCTGCAGGATCTTCCTCTTCCACCGCGGCCACGGTGCCGAACTCGGACCGCACACCTGTTCCCATACGCGAGGCTAGTTCATCCGCTGAGCTGAGGTCCCTCTTGATTTCCCGCCGCAGTTCGGAGGGTTGTTCAAGGTCCGGCTGCATTCTCAGGCTCTGGAATTGGCTGGACTTCCGATGGGTCATGTCGCCGCTCCTCCGTGTCACGGTCACCGCAGGCTCTACCTGCCTCTGTTCTGGGACCACCGGTTCTCCTCAGGCACTTCCTGGGTCTGACCCCCTATCCACGCTTCAGCCAATCTACGCAGCCGAGAGGTCGGCTGCAGCCAATCCGCGGGGGGCGTCTCCACCCGGACCGTTGCTAAGGCGGCGCGGGGAAGAAAAGGAAGAGTAATGTACTCGCCAATTAGAAGAGAATGCGCGTGCGTAATAAATTGCAAAGTGCCCCACGTTTCTCCAAAGTTGCTAGTAAGAGGCTGGCGAGGTCGTTAGGCTGGGCGTGGGACGTGGTGCCAGTTACCATAGGAACCGCCTACTGGCCAATCACAGAGAGAAAGAGGAGAAGTTCGGGGAGAAACCCGAGAGGAGGGACAAAGCGCGACCAATAGAAACAGGAAATGCAGTTCCACCATATCCGGCATTGCCTCTGGCGCCTGCGCTCTGTGCTGGGCAGGCCGGGTGACGTCTGGTGAATCCAAGATGGCGGCGCTCGGCTGATCCTGCAGCAGGTGGGGGGCCCGGGGCGGTGGGGGCGGGATGCAGCAGGTATGTGCGGGGCTGGTGGGGCTGC